TCAATCAATGCCTACATCAATGATTTTATGTAAAAAGGACCAAAGATGACTCACAACTTTTTAACAAAGCACAGGTGACACTTTCCTCCCTTGTGGGCTCCAACCTTCCCCTGCAAGCTCCCTCCACATGTGCCCTGCTGAGCCTCCCAGAGGTGTCCAACCTGTAACCCTGTGGACCACATGCGGATTATGTGAGGACATTTTTGCTTTATTTGTGGTGGTGAACATCACAAAAAGTATGCACAACCTTATTTTTGCTTGTCAGCTTTTGTTAGTGTTCTGTGTATTTCAGGTATGGCCCAAAACAACCCTTCTCTTTCTTTCTTTCTTTCTTTTTTTTTTGAGACAGAGTCTCAAGCTGTTGCCCTGAGTAGAGTGCCGTGGTAGCACAGCTCACAGGGCTTAAGCGATTCTCTTGCCTCAGCCACCCAAGTAGCTGGGACTACAGGCGCCAGCTATTTTTTAGTTGTAGTTGTCATTGTTGTTTGGCAGGCCCAGGCTGGATTTGAACCCACCACCTTTGGTGTATGTGGCCGGTGCCCTAGCCACTGAGGCGCCGAGCAACAGCTGTTCTTCCAATATAGCACAGAGAAGCCAAAAGGTTGACACCCCTACACAGTATCTCCCCAGCCTTCAGGCCTTGGCACAAGCTGCTCTATCCTCCCTGCATGCACAGCCCTCTTCCCCACCTCCCTGCCTGGAAACTACCCATTCAACCTTCCAGACCCAGCTCAAATGTCACTTTCTCCAGAAAGCTCTCTTTTGACTTCCCAGCCCTCTACACACACTTTGGTTTTTGTATTTTGGGGGTTATGATATTGTCTCCTTGGTTTTATCTATCTCTGAAGTACACCTGGAGAAGCTGGTTTTCAACTGCAAACTGGGAAGCTTCCTTCTTGAGAAGTTGGCCACAGCTTATTTCTCTCTGCATTTCCCCTGCGTAGCAGGCAGCTCAGAAACTGTTCGCTGGATGTTAAAAAAAAAAAAGTTAGACATGATATTATTTGGTCCGTAACTATGGAAAACATGTTATTTAACTCAACTCTGTGGATGCTGACAAAATATAAAGTGTTGGTACACAATAGCATGTATTTAAAACCCAGGAAAACTGATGTCATGATGAATCTTGACTTTCTCAGTCGTGGAAACATTTACTTAATTATGATAAAAGAAACAAGACGTCAGCAGAAAATGTAACTGGATGAGACCCGTTAGGCTACACAAAAGGAGACCTACCAAAGTAACTGGCCTCTTTTGTCATTACTTTTTTATAAAGCACAACTAGAAGGAATAATATTTCTACCCACCGTAGTTTCGTTTTCTCTTTCCAGGAGCTCAGGCCCTCATCTCTCACCTGAACTATACTGCACCATCCCCTAACTATGACTTCCCTGCCCCAGATTTTGGCAGCTATTTATAACCTGGGATGCTCCTCCACCAAGGCTTTGAGTACACCCCTCTTCCCTGGTGCAAAAGTACTCAAAACCTCCCCATGGGGTCCAGACTCAGGTCCTCACCTCTCTCAGACTGTCATCTTGCTCACCCCCCCACACACACACACACTAAGCCTGACAAACAGCACTCCTGCAGCCTCCCTCCCCTATGCTGAAATTCTACTTCCAGCTCTAGATCCAGCTGGAGCCACCTCCTAGATAAAGACCTCCTCAAATTCTCCAAGACAAAAACATCAGGAAACAAATGATGAAATATACGTAAAGCTCCTACAGGGGCTGAGGCCAGAGATTCCTGACAAGTCTTCTGCATCCTTCATTCCCTCCCCTCTTTGTTCCCACTTACACCAAGATATCTCTAAGCGCAAAGTAGTGCTGGTAACAGCTGGCTAAGTTATGTTAGGAGAGAAAGCAGAGTAACCCTAGTTTCTCTTCCAAATGATTCTAAAAGGGAAAAAGACAGGATGCTGGCATTCAGGGGGCAAGGGGATGTAACCAGGTGTGTGTGCCCTAGGACTCACCTGGGAGAACAAATGGATGCCTAACTGTGTGACAGAGGAAGGCAGGAGATTCCCCACCCCCAAGATAAGGCATGGTTGGGGCAGCACTGGAAGAAGGGCCTGTTGATGAACAGCCCTTCACCACAGTAACTGCTGACTCAGGCCTGATGTTAAAAACACACAGACCTGAGGGTCTCCTCCTATTCCCCAACAACTGATAAAGACTAAATGGGGTGCTAGAAATGGGTTTTCCTGGATCCATGAGTGAAGGGCAGAGGAAGGCTGGACCCACAGTATGCCTGGCCTTCCAAAAGCTGTCTGGCTGGAGATAATATGAAAAGCAGACTGCCTCCTGACTGCTTAAGGGGCTGGGGGTACAGCAGGGGGCTGCTGGCCCAGAATCAGGAGCTGGCCACACACAAAAGGCAGAGGTGAAGGCATCCAGAGTCTCCACATCCCAAAGCTGCCCTAACCAGAAGACCAGAGGGAAGGTAAAGAAGCCATTCCACTGTTGCATTAGTGGTTCTCAAAGTGTGATCCCAGGATCAGCAGCTCAAGCTCACCCAGGAATTTGCATGAATGCAAATACTCAGGCTTCCCACCAGGCTCCTTTAATCAGACTCTGCACGACTGTCCCCAACCACCAGTGTTTTCACCAATCCTACTGTGTGCAGTTAAAGTTTGAGGACTATTGCTGACCCTCCCTGGCCAGCTCCCTTCCCCCTCAATAAGAAGAATGTCCAGACAACTTCTATAAAGATCAAAGGGCTCAAATACACAGCCTAGCGGGTGAAAAACCGCCCAGAGAAATCTTTTTCTTTTTTTGCAGTTTTTGGCCTGGGCTGGGTTTGAACCTGTCACCTCTGGCATATGGTGCCGGCGCCCTACCCCTTTAAGCCACAGGCGCCACACCAGAAATCTTTTTTCTTAAAGACCATATCTGAGCACAACAGCTTTAGCAGCTAAAACCCTTCACTGGCCACCACTGAGCTTAGCTTGGTCCTCCCTGCCCAACTCTAATCTCTCAATTCTGGCTAAAAGGGACGTCACCTGCCACATTTCCCTGAAGCACCAGGCTCTGGTTCCAGCAGACCCTGGTCATCACCCCTCCCCCATGTAAGAGCCCTGCCTCTCTTCCTCCGAGGTGGCCCTTCAGCCCTCTTTCTGTAAACAAGGCCTCATCATAGTACTCATCATGCCACTGTGGCCTGTCATAGCATTTGCTGCAGAGGGGCCCTGCTCCAGCACCCAGCAACGTGGGGTACACCCAAGAAATATCTGGTTATGGAATGAAGCCAAGTCTTAAACAAGCTTGATATTCTGCCCATATAATAAATCATTCCTCAGTGTTTCCAACTGTCTTAATTGTAATTGGGAGAAAATGTGTACTAAAGTTTTAAACCACTAGCAGTGGGAGAGAAAGGAGCTCTGCCCACCTGGGGCACGACTGCTGCACGGAGAGTCCAGCCCAGTTGGCTGTGAAGCTTCCTCAGCCAGATTCTCCCAGACCCCACACAAGACAAGCACCAGCCAGGCATGAGACTGCAGGGAGCCTCTTTCCATGTTTCCCTCACTGATCAACCACACCTCCAAGATGATTCTGGCAGCTCCCGGGTGGCCAGCTGGCTTTCAGCTCCCTGTCATCTAGGTGTGGCATCCTAAGTGCTCAAGAAGCCCAGAGTCCAAGCTTCCGAGGTGTGTCCCCAAACTGGCTCCAGGGAAAGGTGGGATCCTCCACACAGACAGCCCATGCTGCTCTCAGCAGACCAACCAGGGGAGGTGATATTCTGGGGACCTCAGAAGAGGAAGCTAGGCACAAAGATTAAAGGAGGGACATTCCCTCCCTCCTTCCTGGAAAACAAAATAGATCCCTTTCCAAGCACCAGCTGGCAGGTAGGAGCCTGTCTCCCTCCTGTCTGGACATCCACTCCTAAAAGGAATTCAGACTCTTTATCAGTCTCCCCCAGTCTAGGCCTAGGTAAAAGTTTACCTGTGGGAGAAGTTGGGGAGAACAATGGCCACGCAGGGCATTGAGAAGGAACTAGCTCTCCCACCAGGCCTCAGATTTAATCAAAACACTGCCTTCCACCAGGAGTAGACAGAACAAGTATTATTTTATGGAGGAAGGGAGGGTATCACAAGTGTGAAGGGAGAGAAGGGGCGGAGGCTGGCTGTAATTAACTAGCCTGCTTCAAAGAGGGGGATCAACTTGTCCTAATAAGTTAGGAAGGAGGCTGTCACAATGTCCCCCCTAGTCCCTGAGACCGTGTGGGGTGTAGGTGGAGTCAGGAAGGAAGAAGGTGAGGATAGGATGGGTCTCCTTCCAGCCTGGCCTGATAGGTGGACCCCCTCAGGCGAGTGGTTCCGCGTGGAGCGCTCTCAGAAGCAGCATATTTCTACTGGAAAAGCACGCGTGGGGGTCCCCGGCGCAGTTCCAGTACAAAAGGCAGCCCAGATTTGGAAACCTGGCATGTGGGGTGGGGGTTGGAGTGGGGCAGGGCAGAGCCAGGCAGGGCCAGGCAGGGCAGCCAAGAAGGATTTACATATACTCGTTTAGAAACAGCCGGTCCGGATCTGCCACCAAGAATGCTGTGTAATCTCCGGCGAGTCCCCGCCCAGCTTTGGGCCTCAGTTCCCCATCTAGAGTGTGTGTAGGATGGGAGGTAGGGTAGGGGGAAACAGGAGTAAAAACTCTTTTAAGTCTTTGACAGCTTGGACTCTGACTTTACTCCTGGGGAGCCAGAAGGGCTGGCTGGCTCTATCTTCTTCGAACAAGACTAGATGGGGAGCTCTCGCGTGGGCCATGGGCTCAAAGAGAAGATACACTGGAAGCAGCAGCGACAGAGATGGTGACTATCAAGAGGCCTACCGTCCTGGACCCCATGAGAAAGGACATGGGAGGAGGCGGAATAAGGAAGGAGTGCGCGAAGCCTGACCCCAGGGTCTTAAGCTGAAGTCGATGTAGGGATTCGAAACCAGAGAGAGGCCCCACTTTCCTCGAGCGCACGGTGACTCTGGAAACTCGGGTTAAGGCCAAGGAACAGCTTACCTTGTCCTTCTTGCCAACACCGCTCTCCTCTGCGGCCGAGGGTGCGCACTTGTTGAGCAGTTTCTTGCCTCCACAGGCGGTCGGGCTCCAGGTGCGACCCCCTGAGCAGGCGCCCCCCGAGGGGTCCCCAGCACCGCTGCCAACAGCGCTCTCCACTTTGATAAGGCGATGCTTGGGGGAGATGTAGCGCACCTCGGCTGGCGTGGCAGGCCGCCGCTCGCTGCTGCTGCGGTACAGGTGGGGAGAGCCGGAGGACGAGGACGAGGACGCAGCGGCACCCGCCCCCGAAGAGGCACAGCAGCAGCCGGCGGCGCCCGACGCGGACGAGGCCGAGAAGGCACGCTGGCCCCCGCCCGGCTCCCCGCCGCCTCCGCAGTAGTCCAGGCGGCACATGGCGCGCAGTTTGCGCAGCGACGAGCCGGGCCCGTTGTAAGGGTCTTCGAAGTCGCGCTCCTTCTGCGCGCGGTAGGCGCGGATGAGGTCGCTGGTACTGCCGCTGTCGTCGGGCAGAGAGCCCGAAGAGGCCGAGAAACAGGAGGCAGCAGCCGGACCGCAGGACGCCGAGGCGCCCGAGGAGGCCTGCGGCACGGCCTGTGGGGGCTGCGAGGGCCTCTCGCCCCGGCGCCGCTGCTCGCGGTAGTCGGGCCGCGGCGGCTGCGGGGGGCTCTTGGTCTTGCTGTTGCCCAAACTGAAGTACTTGTTCAGCCACTTGGCCATTGCGAGAGGCCGCCTAGGGCCGCGGCGCGGGAACCTGGTCCGCCGCCGCGGCCATTCGGGGGGCAGAGCTGCCACCCAGGTCCCTCGGCGCCCCGGCCCCGGCGGGGGCGTCCGGGGCGCCTGCTCCCGACGCCAAGTTCAAGTTCTCGCCGCCGCCTCCTGCCGGCCGCTCTCCGGATCCTGCAGCTGCAGCACCGCCCTCCGCCTACGCTGCGCGCCTCCCGGGCTTCGGATCTCTGGCCCTTCGTAGGCGCGTCTCATGGGGTCCTGGGCCACCGCCCCGCGGAGAGCAGAAGGTCCGAGCGCCCCTAGCCGCGGACGCTCTGGCCGTGAGCTCCACCGTGGAGCACACTCCTGCCCCGTCGGAGCCACAGCCTTCTCCTCGCCGAGATCCGCGGCTGCTGCGGGAACTTGGTGTCCTCTGTTCTCCTTCTCCCTTCCTGATAGCGATAGGACGAGTCAGGCCCTACAGCTGGTGAGAATGTGAATGAGAGAGCGAGAGAGAGACGTAGAGTGGCAGCCGGCGCCCGCGCGCCCGTGCCCGTCCCGGCGGCGCCTGCCGCGGCCCCTGCTGCCGCCGCCTCCCAGGCCGCCGCGTGTGTGACACTCCGGCCGCCAGAGCCCGCCCCGCGCCGCGGCCCCGCCTTCTCCGGGCCCGCGCGTGCCCCGCCCCCTAGTCCGCCCCCGCAGACCCAGCCCCGCCCACTCCGCGCGCCAGGCAGCCAGACCGAGGCCCAAGCTCCGCCTTTCTTGCGCCGGGTTCCTGGACTGGCGTCCCTCTCTTTTTTTGCGTGCGCCACCTCCCGCTGTCACCTCGGCGCCAGCCCTAGGGTCGTACCCCAGGGTGCCAGGGTCTCGCAGTGCTGCCAGCTCCGCCTCGCCTCTCTTGCAGCCCTCTGCCACCTCAGGCGAGAGGTTGCCCGGGTGAGCCTGCAACGCACAGAGGCCAAACCCGACCGCAGTCTCCCAGGACCTGCGCGTTGTACACTCGACCGGTCGTCACCGTCGGGGTTGGGGGGCGGGAGTGGATTAATGCGGAACCTTTCTAGTCTACCTTGTGGCCTGTGCGGAGGAAATGCATTGCCGAGTGCCCAAGGGACAGAGTGCCAGTTCCCCTTCTCCTTAAAGGGACAGAGATTCCGGCTCTGTACTCCTGCGCTGGTATTTGGAGGAATCTTTATGCTAATTAGTATATTAGCAAAAGAAATGGCAGTTGAGGCAAGATGGGACCAGGCCAGGCACCAATCCCAGAGCAAGCCTAGGGGACATCGGAATGTTTGCTTACCTTTCACTTCTGCGGAAGTCGAGGCTCTTAACCTGGTTCACTGCCAACCTGACCGAGCGAGTGGGGGGCGGGTTTAAATGCCTAAAGTTGTAGGACCTGGCAAGGCTTTACTTAATCCATTTTAAGAATGGAGAACGTGACGCCCAGAGGTAGGCCACACAGGTGGGCTTGAATGCCAGTTCCCCAGTCTGGTGGTGCCATAGTGATGTCATTTCCACTGGTCTCTGCAACTTCAGCTCATCCTTAGATTATGAGATTATTATTTCCTAAATGAGGAAATTAAGGCCACAGGAGGGGCACAGTTTATTTCGTGTTGCTTTTCCTGGGGTCTGCACCCAGGGGTGGCGGCATGCTCCCTGTGGAGATGGAAATGCTGCCTGAAAATGAATTAGCTCCCACTAGGGCTGGTTTGAATTTGGCTGGGCAAGCCCTCAAATGTGGCTTAACCTTAAAACTGGCTACCTGAGAGTTGAGAAATTCTCTGAGAATGTTTATTTAGTAAAACAATAGCCCAGACCAACAATCTCCATTTGCAGGCAGCACCTGTGGCTCAGTGAGTAGGGCACCACACTGGCCCCATATACCTGAGGGTGGGGAGTTCAAACCTGCCCCGGCCAAACTGCAACAAAAAATAGCCGGGCCTTGTGGCGGGTGCCTGTAGTCCCAGCTCCTCAGGAGGCTGAGGCAAGATAATTGCCTAAGCCCAGGAGCTGGAGGTTGCTGTGAGCTGTGACACTACAGCACTCTACCAAGGGTGACAAAGTTAGACTGTCTTTAAAAAAAAAAAAAACTCCATTTCCTGTATATTATGGGTAGGTTTGAAGGGAATCTATTTTTTCCGTATCCTGTAGGAATAGTGAGTCCTTTTAGGGCAGGCAGCAAGACCAGCCACTCTTTTGGTCAGGTCATGGTCCAGGCCACGCTGGAGGTAGAGGTCAAACTCTCAGTCTGAGACTCCAGGAAAGGGAGAGCCAGAGGGCTGTTGGCTGCTGCTATTACTGCTTCCTCTGTAACCCACTCAGACTCATGCCTAAGGCCACTGTGCAGAAGTGGCTGAAGCAGGACTCACTCCAACTTATATCTTTATCTGAAGCCTGAGCTCTATCTGCTCAGCCACACACAGTGATGCAAATTGTTGACTGCATAATGTTCCTTCGGGATCAAGTCATTTACCCTTTCTCTCTTTGTTTGTTTGTTTGTTTTGCAGTTTTTGGCTGGGATCAGGTTTGAACCCGCCACCTCTGGTATATGAGGCCAGTGCCCTACTCCTTTGAGCCACAGGTACCACCAGCCCTTTCCCTCTTTGGTCAAAAGTGACTGTCATCCTCCGTGGCCAGATAACCTCCCAAAGCCACTGCATGACACACACTGCCAACTACACAACCCCTTCATTATATGAGATTTATTTATTTAGCATCTCATGGGAAATAATCTAAGGTATATGTGTGTATTCCATCAGTCTGACGATGGGGAGAGGACCCAGAGCCTGACCTGGCTGAGACGTTTATTTTGGGTATTCTTAAAACGTAAATATCTCAAATTGCCCTTTAAATTGCTCCTCTGCTACATAAGTACTTTTTTTTTTTTTTTTTTTTTTTTAGAGACAGAGTCTCACTTTGTCACCCGTGGTAGAGTGCCTTGGTGTCACAGCTCACAGCAACCTCCCAGCTCTTGGGATTAGGCAATTCTCTTGCCTCAGCCTCCTAAGTAGCTGGGACTACAGGTGTCCACCACAATGCCTGGCTATTTTTCCTTGCAGTTTGGCCGGGGCCGGGCTTGAACCTGCTCCCCTCAGTATATGGGGCTGGTGCCCTACTCACTGAGCCACAGGCACCACTCACTTTTTTTTTTTTTTTAATTGAGACAGTGTTTCACTTTGTTGCCCTCAGTAGAGTGCTGTGGCATCACAAGCCCACAACTCTTAGGCTTAAGTGATTCTCTTGCCTCAGCCTCCAGAGTAGCTGGGACTACAGGTATCCACTGCAACGCCCAGCTATTTTTTTGTTTATTTGTTTTTAGCAGGCTGGGCTGGGTTTGAACCCACTAGCCTTGGTGCATGTGGCTGGCACCCTACTGACTGAGCTATAGATGCTGTCCAGCACTTTATTATCTTGCATATAGAGAGGCCCCAATAGAATACCTGAAAGGCAAGGACATCCTTGTCCTAAGCCCCACCTTTCATCCAACCACAAATCCTTTCCAGCTCCCTGCCTTCCCATTTCTTCTTCTAGGCTCAGGAAGGGGGCCAGATCCTTGCAATAAGCCAGGCCACCTTGGACAAGAAAGTTGTCTCCAGAATCTGGAAGCTTACTCCCTGCATGTGGCTTGCACATGGAAGAGTTATCTCTGCCTTTTTCAAAGGTTTAGGAAGAGAAGTTACATTTCACAACTTATTTTTTCCATTGTATTTCAGCAGGCCATAGGGTCAGACCTGCTTTCCCATGTGATGCCTCTGCAGGGGTATAATTTGCAGGCCAGAATTATCATAATGGTATAGTATTATGCCAAGAACTTCCAGAGCACTTGTGTATCTGCTCAACCCTTAAACACTCGGTATATGATTAACTCTCCTCGACATCCCAGCAATCTGGTGTCATCAGTTTATAGATGGGGTAACTGGCCTAAGGTGGTATTTACCTCACTTGAGTAGGCAGAAACCCACATGAATGTTTTCCCTTGGGAACTTATAGAGACATACCCTCCAAGATGCAGAGTCTGAAATCATTATTCTGAAAGAAAATAGAAAATCTTCTTGAGGAAGATAGTGGGTAAGCAGTTGTGTCAAATGGTTTGGGAAGACAGAGACTTGTAGAAAAAGGATCAGGACACTATGGAGAGGGGGGTAAAAGCTGTACAGACCCCCTTTTCAGAGATCCAGCCACCTCATTTTACAGAAGAAAAGTTGGGACCAGTGAAGGAAAGAGATGGAATCAAGACACATAGCTGGGATTGGTACCCAGTCACTTGACATCACAAACCCAAAACTATAGGTTGCTATGAAGTCCGGTGCGGGCGGGGGTCCAACATTTTTTTTCTGCCTCACATTGGAAGAATAAAAGATGTCTAGGGCCGCACATTAAATACACAAACACTAAGGAATGCTGATTAGAACAATAAAAAAAAAATGGTCCATGGATATTTTTCATGATACCTGATATCACAAATAAGTAAAAATCACCTGGACACAGTGGCTCACGCCTGCAATCCCAGCACTTGGGAGGCCGAGGCAGGTGGACTGCCTGAGCTCACAGGTTCAAGGCCAGCCTGAGCAAGAACAGGACCCCATCTCTAAAAAATAACTGGGTGTTGTGGTGGGCTCCTGTAGTCCCAGCTACTTGGGAGGCTGAGGCAAGAGAATTGCTTAAGCCCAAGAGTTTGAGGTTGCTGTGAGCTGTGATGCCATGGCACTCTACTGAGGGTGACAAAGTGAGGCTCTGTCTTAAAAAAAAAAAAAAAGTATAAATGTCCTCACAGTATCAGTATGCGGGCACGGAATGATATTGAGTGATGGGCTTGGTGACACGGCGCCTCATTCTTGGCATTTCTGTTTCTCATGTTCTCCTCCTTCCTACTTCAGTTTTATTATTGGAAGGATTGAGCATGGCCCTGGTTTTTTTTTTCCAACCATATTTCCTTTCTATCTCAACTTTTCACTTTCGACCAAGACCTCTCTGAAGGCAGGGACGTGGCATCTCCTTCCTCTATACCTCCGTCTGTTACTTGGAGGAAGGCTATGCCCTTTGTACAGGACTAGAAACATGGTCCCACCGCCCAACAGACTTACCTACTTCTTTTAGGTAATGTTATTCAGTTCAGTCCATGGAGTGTTAATGTTAG